TTTGGTTAAAAATTTTCGTTATGTTTCACACCCTCTGCTTTGTTCATAATTTCACTTTATTTTTCTTTCCTCACCAACTTTGTCTTTGTTAATCCTTTTTTTTTTGTATTTTTCAATTTTTTTCAGATGCTTTGCTTACAGAGGATTCTATAAAAAACATAACCCTGGCAGAAATCGATAAGGTGTTGCAAAGCAACGGTAAATGCCTCTCTGATTACCCATTCATGCCGAGCATCATGGGTGAATCTTTATTGGATATGCAGAATAGATTGGTGATGGATGAATTGTTGTATGACAGGTTCTCTTTGAAAGAAGAGCATGACAGACTACTGAATTCACTCACTGATGAGCAGAGGGTTGTTTATGACAAAATAATTTCAGCTGTTTCGGCAGGTAAAGGAGGATTTTTTTTTTCTGTACGACTTTGGTGGGACTAAAAAAACATTTATTTGGAACACCCTGTCAGCATTGATGCTGCTTCTAGCGGAATTGCTTCATTTCTTCTTCCTGGAGGACGTACGGCACATTCTAGATTTCGTATTCCTATACAGATCACCGAAGATTCAACATGTAATATAAAACAAAATTCTACTTTGGCGGCAGAGTTGTTGTCAAAAACAAAGTTAATCATTTGGGATGAAGCACTGATGGTACACAAATTTTGCTTTGAGGCTCTTGATAGAACACTTAGAGATGTTCTTAGCTGTGTTGATATGCCCTTTGGTGGAAAAGTTGTCATTCTAGGAGGTGACTTTCAGCAAATATTACCTGTCATTCCAAATGGCAGTAGACAAGATATAGTTCATGCCACCATCAATTCTTCTTATCTATGATCCCATTGTCATCTGTTATCTTTGACCAAGAACATGCGTCTCAATTCTGGAAGTAGCACTAATAATTTGTTGGAAATAAAAGAATTTTCTGAGTGGCTCCTTAAAATAGGAGATGGTGATCTTAGGGATGATGTTGATGGAGAATCTATTATAACAATTCCAGATGAATTGTTGATCAAAGGTTCAGAAGACCCACTTTCAGATATTGTTGATTTTGTTTACCCGAATCTGATGGATAATATATTAGATCCTACTTTCTTTAAAGAACGTGCTCTTCTGACTCCTAAATTGTCCGATGTTGCCATGTTAAACGAGCACCTAATGGCTGTGATTTCGGGTGAAGAAAGGACATTATTGAGTTCAGATAAGGTTTTGAAACAAGACGGTAATTCATCTCTTGAGGATGACGAAATCTCCCCTGATATCTTAAATACATTCTCATGTTCGGGGATTCCTGATCATAAATTAACTTTGAAGGTTAAAGTACCGGTGATGCTATTGAGAAATATTGATCAATCAAGAGGTTTATGCAACAGTACGAGATTACTTATTACAAAGTTGGGGAATCATGTTGTTGAGGCAATTGTTCTTACAGGAAACAATATAGGAGATACTGTGTTAATCCCTAGAATGACGATCAGCCCATCGGGTCATACATTTCCAGTAAACTTCCAAAGAAGACAATTCCCCTTGGTAGTTTCGTTTGCGATGACTATCAACAAAAGTCAAGGACAGTCGTTGTCTCATGTTGGCATTTATCTTCCTAGGTCTGTCTTCACTCATGGGCAATTATATGTGGCACTATCTAGAGTAAAGAGCAGACATGGATTGAAGATGTTGATACTTGATGAAAATGGTTGCGTTACAAATACTACCTTTAACATCGTCTACAAGGAAGTATTTCAAAGATTAGTGTAGTATACTTGGTTATTTCTACAAAGAGATAACATTGTTGTTTGGTATCAGGTAAGATCTCAATTTTTATCAGAAAATATTTTTTAATCTTCTTTGTTGATTTCCTTTAGTTGTTATGCCTATTTTTCTGCTAATTTTTTATTGTTATGCAGATTCAGTATTCGAGGCACAATCAATATATTATTCCCTTGTCTTTTTTTAGAGTCAAAGGTTTTTCATTGTAATTCTGAATTATTCATCTGCCTAAACTATATAATTCCATTCAATAATTTTTCCTTTTCCAAATATTGTTTATATATTGTTTATGATTCATTTCGAACAGCAGCAAATATCAATAGTGCATGGCGGACGATATTTTACAACTGTTGTGAGTATCGGTTGGGCATATTTCTTATTATATTGTTGTCAACATGACATTTATATTTTTTTAATGGAGATTTTGCTGTCAACCATGGAATTTACTGTGTTTAAATTATTATATTCTTTTTTTTGTTCCTACCTTAAAAGTTACATGTTTATGTCATACGAACAAACCGATTTTCTTATTAATTCGTTTACGGGACAAACAAACCAACTTTTTTTTTCTCCACGGGTAATCAACTAGTATAGTGTAACCTAGTGTACTTCCGAGAGTACATAGTGTAATTTATAAACAAAAAAATTATAAATATAACCCTCCCCTGTATATATCTATATAAATCTTCTTTTACCAAGATGCATAATGTAAAATTCAATTGGATGATAAAACATAATTGGATGATCATATAATTTTTTTTCCATTAAATGTATATCAAAAATAAATTCTTTTTAAAAGAGAATTTAAATTTAAAATATAAATAGAAAAAAAAGTTCAGCAGGCTTTTCGACCAAATAAATATAAATTTTAATTTTTTTTATGAAATTGATGTAATTTTCAAATTATTTATTAATATGATATATTTTGATTCCACTTGATACTATCTTGATTTTGTCTCAAATTGATAAATGGTGTAAGGTGATAGTCTCAGATTCACTCCATCTACTAATCTACCATCCTTATCGTCTCACTCACTTCACTTAAATTTGACGATTATTCTTTTCCTTCCCTGTTCGGTCGAAAAGTTCAAATATTTAATAAAGTTTGAGCACTTCAAACTAATCAAATTTTTCATAAATTTTTTCTGATTTGGCACATTTCAGATATTTTAAAATAAAACAAAATGTGCATACATTCATTAATCACCGAAAAGAAGTTATAATTATAGTACAAGAATCACAATATATTTCGCCCATAAATCTCAGAATTGCTAAAGGATTATGGACTATAGATGGTATTATTGACCCAAATTAATGATATCAAATATTTGAATCCTCCTAGTAAAAAGAGAAGATAAAGAAAATCAATTATCAAATTATTTAAAATAAATCTTACATTTGTTGTGATTCTGAGCCAAATAAATAAGAATTATTTACAGTTTTAATTATCATTTGACCAAATGAATTTAATGCCAAATTGTTTTTGGATATATTTAATGTCAATTTTTAAAATAATAATAATTATATTATTTACGATCTTAATTATTATATATTATTTATTTTCCTGATTAATATTTACATAGAGTGAGCGAAGGGATAAGAGTGTTAGGAATTTGAGGAGATGATTAAGATAATAGTTGATACCATGTAATATCATTTGCTCGACTAAATACATAATTTATTTGAGTAAATCATTTACTTGTACATGTTGCTGGTGGAGCGGACAACTTTAAATTATATCAAATTGATAAGTAATTTGAAAATTATATCAATTTAATATTTTTAAAATTTTATATTATTTGATAAAAAGCCCAAAAATAATCGTATAATTCTTTAAGAAAAATTGAAGTGGAATTAAAATTTATATATATCAATGTTGGAGGAAAAATACAAGCTAACTCACTATCAGATAAAATTAATAGTTATGGATGGAGTAGGGTTAACTAATTATCAATTATTATTATTATTATTATTATTATTTTAATGAGCCGATAAATTAATTCAATCAAATAAAAAGATATCCTCAAATATATATCTTATCAATTAATATTTATACGATATTGTCATTGATATTTTAAAATATTAAATTATTAATTGACTTGTTCAATCAAATTATAATTATTTTCAAGTAACAATTCTTTTTCCATAAACAGTTAAGTATTCACAACTATCATATTATACTTCTACCATGATATTAGGAAAAATCCACACCGGTTAAACTGGAATAATATGTTACTGTTATTTTTATTATTTTATTATTTTTTGAATTATTGTGTTGTTTAAATAGTGGGTAGGGATAGTTATTTTGTTTGTTTTGTTATTTGAATTTAACTTTGATAAAAAAAATAGATTATTGCTATTAGTGGAGCTTATCTAATATTAGTGGATAGTTACTTTTATGATTATATATCTATTTAAACCTTGAAGTATTGAGATAAAGATTATCAGATAAGAAAAAATAATTTGTGTTGAACTCAAATCTATTATTTTCTTCCAAAAGTGTAAGTAACAGAATCTCACTATACATGTACCTAAAACTCAATACATGCGTGGGTTGAAACGACGCATGTATTACATTGGAAGACTGGGATGCATGAACTGGTTTAGCCTCACTATGACATTGACTCGTAACCTCTAAATGTGCCACTACTATTACACTTCAATGTTACTTTCTTTTTCTCATATATGGGGGGAATCAAGACGTAAAAGTAGTTTCCTTTCTATAAGTATGATGGAGAACTATGATGCCAAATCTTTATTATAATGTAAAATGGAGAAAGATCCGTTTACAAATTTTTTTTATAAATTTTTACAAATTACACTATCTTCTCCCAGGAAAACATAGTGTAACTAGTGTTCTTCTGGGAGAAGATAGTGTAGTTTGTAAGATTTTGTAAACAAAAAAGTTTATAAATATAATCTGTCCCATGTAAAATATATAAAATAAATCAAAGATTGGAATTTGAAAAGTAAAAACCTTTACATGATTGAGTGGTATCACCTAACATGATTTGGTACTCCGATTAAATTTCGCTGAACCCTCAAACTTAAACAAATACTGCTTGTAACAACACTCTTGTATAAATGTCTTTCTCGTTGAAGATTTTTGGTTGTCAACTAGCCTTGGATCACAGAGGTTTGAAGGTGAGATGTTCACAGCATTGCATTCAGTATATTGAGTTTGTTTGTCTATAAAAAAAGATATCATGTACAAGTTCAATTGGACTTTAAAAGGAGAAATATGTTATCTTTTTTTGGATACAAGGGAGATGTTATTTTGTTCCAAGGAAAATAGCCAATTGTTCCCACCGAAGAGAACAGCAATGGGGTATAAAATACAAACGGTAGAACAAAATTGGTGAATATACCTACCAATGGTTTGTTCCTATGAAGTCTGTACTATCACTAGCAACCAATTCTAGTTTCTCCCAAATTTACATCTGGAAAAACAAAAAGGGGGGGAATTGAGTATTATCTTCAAGTTGGCATTGTCAGAGAAAACAAGCTGCGGTGACAAAGCAACACATTAGAACTCCACTAATATGTTATCCTACAAAATGTCTATAGGTTAGATACTGTCAATCCATCTTCTCATCTTCCACATGAAATTCCTCTTTCATCTCCATTTCCACCCTTGGGACAACTTGCATAGTGCCTTCAGATGATGAAACACCAGAATCTTCTTTCTTATCCTTTGTTGGCAAACTTAGTTCTGTCAGTGAAGCCGAATTACTGTAAGTTCCAAAATCTATATTCAGTTGAGGCGAAGAGGGACTCCCGGCCTGGTCAGTTAACTTATCATACATTTTGGCTTCTGATGGGCAGGTCTTGAGAATGCTTTGAAGCACAGGGAATTCTTCGTTTGAGAGCTCAAATGATTTTGAATTACCATTCATGTCTGTCTCAGAATGAACCTCCACTTGTTGCTGCTTTCTCTGTGGTGAATGGGGCAACGCATTATGCTTCGCATGAGGAAATCTCCTTGGCCTGGTCACCCTTACGTGCAAATCCCAGTAGGTATTATGAGTCTGCAAATATTAATCATTGAGGAGATGAAAAAGTGAGTTATCACAAGATAATATAAAGAGATAAAAGTTTCATAACAAAAACAATATACCACGTCAGGTATGTAAGGGCCTGTTCCTCGTGATTTCCCTCTTTCTTCAAGGCAATAAGTTGCTTGCGAAGCATTTGGATGATAGAGTGTCTGTCTTGGGATTGGGACATATACATCAGTACCTGTTTGATAAAACATATAACAGTTTTGTTGTGTCGATAGTGCCAGCATATCAGCTTGAGAAGACGATGATGAAGAAATGGGATATGCAGTGTGCGGCACAAGTATATCAGCTTGAGATGGCGGTGATGGAGAAATGGGATGTGCAGTGTGCGGCACAAACATATCAGATTGAGAAGATAGTGGTGGAGAAATGGAATATCCATTGTGCGGCACAAACATATCAGATTGAGAAGACAGTGATGGAGAAATGGAATGTGCAATGTGCGGCACAAACATTTCGGATTGAGCAGACAGTGATGGAGAAATGGAATGCGCAGTGTGTGGCACAATCATTTCGGATTGAGAAGGCAGCGATGGAGAAATGGTATGTGCAGTGTGAGGCACGTGCATATCAGATTGAGAAGGCAGTGATGGAGAAATGGTAAGTGCAGTGTGCGGTACGGTGTAATTTAACAACTGAGCATATTGAAGGCCACCATAGTAACTGTCACAATCTCCACGGAGGTCAGACTTTTCAGATCTTCCAGTACCAAATGCAGGAACTGGAACTTGAACATCTGGCCTTACTCCTTTCCCATTTCTATCCAAAGTGTTCACGAAAAACTTCTCAATCTCTCCAACCATGCATACTTCTGGAAGTGTGAGGATATCCTTAAGCTTTCGAGCACCAAAAGAAAGAGCAAATCTTATTCGATGTAAATTGCCTGCAGGCAGTAAGTGAAAGGTAAGTATTCAGTTCAAAGAAGTAACCATTACAGATTTGAAATAATGTCATGTCATGAAACATCACAATCTCTATAATTATTTCAGCATCATAAATACAACTTTAAAGGCATCACTGGAACATATACTAAATATAAATATATGTAATGACATTGGAGCAAGGCATTATGAATTTGTCACTAGCACGCAAAATTGTAGTGAACTTGTAGATATTTTCCAACCATTCGTAAACGTCTTCCCAACTATAAATACTTTCCATGGGGTAACATTCGGAGCAATATAAATTCCTTAGGTAATTAAAACACTATGAAGTATGAAGTCAGACCAGAAGCAATTAAAATACAAACCAAAAATTTCCCCATAATCAATAGATGCTTTAGTAGGCAAAATTACCTCTGCTAACACTACGGCCAAGGTTATTGTCATTTCTTAGAGGATCCAAAATGTTCATGGGTTTAATGGGAAATTCATGGGTCACAGTCTCCATTGCCCTTGCTGAAGCAGAGCACATATCCCTGTAATTTCTCAGAAACTCTTTATTGAGCAAAAATTCGCCCCGTTCACATTCTGGTGTCTCTGCAACAAGCGAGTTGGGATTATTAAGAAGTGAAGATTAAAAAAAAAAAATCCCATCAAATCATGTAGGCATCCAATTGCTTATACACCCCAATAACACCTACCAATAATTACTGGAAGGGAAGATAAGGCTTTCGGTCCATCTACACTGACATAATGATGCTCCCAATCAAATGTGCTGTAGTAGTCCAGAAATCTGTACAGCACCTGCTAGTAGTAGCAGTTCAGTGGTTTTATTCTTCACGTAGATGTAAATAGAAAATTAGAAATGCTGAAAGAGTGCAAAAGAAAATTGATGGAAGACTAGACTCACCTCTAGAGGACCACGCACTGATGAATGAAAACGATTAATAATATACAAGACTAATGTTTCCACAGCATATGTTGATAGCAGGCCATGATGTGCACCCAGAATTCGGCTCTCATAATAGCACCAAGCTTTGATTAAGATAATACTGCGTTTGAAAAGATGATCTTTCCCAACAAGTTCATCAATCTGAGAATTTTTTTTTTTTTAAAAAAAAAAGAATTCGTAAAGCCTGATTATGAACAGGGAAAAAAATTGGATTTCAATCAGAAATGGATAAAATGTGGTGGCAGAGAGAGAGAGAATTGATAACAACCAATTATCAAGAAAATACATGGGGTAAGAGATCGGAAAGGGTCTAACTAAACAAATAATTCAACATTGAGGCCACTCAAAAACCAATCTAACTGAATGGAAACAGTAAAATTTATTGGATGGTATTCTCTATATGATCATTCACAATGGTTCTGACTCTGCAGGATCCCAGGAACAGAGCTCAACAAGTAGTACAAACTGTAAAAAGGGAAGAAGAAGCAAAAAAAATATATAAAAAAGATAACAGGAAAACGAGTTCAAAAAGTCATCAAGAGAGCTGAAAAATAGCAGAACATATACACAAATTTGATATAAAAGAAGTTTCAGATATGGCACACAATTTCATATTCAATTATATACTGCTAAGACTAACCACATATTAGGTTTATTCAATTATCAAGTTTCAGCATTAAAGAAACTGTACAGACTTACAGTACCAACAGTGAAATTTAAGCATATAGATCTAAAGCACATGGTATGAAGAACTCAAAGAGCATGAATTAGTTGAGAAGCACAAATGAGATTTTACCTGCTCCAGAAAGCGCAAAGCATAGAGTCCAGCCATCTGATTGAAAGAGATGTCAACTGCTATATTTTTCACTGTGCATTTAACAAGCTGGACCTGCATTACATCATCCAAACATCAAAAAAGGAGTCTGATAAAGTTGAAATATATCATTTTACATAAGAACATTAAATACTACTTTCTAATCAGGATAAACCGAGAAAAGGAATAATTTTGAATATAAAAAGATAAAGAAGCAACATTGGCAGTGGAGATGCTACTTTTTCACATAGGATGTAACATTCCAGAAATAATACACTAGCTTTGGCATGACAAAGTTAGTTGGACTCCGAGCGAGAAACTATACAGATGTTTTAGTATCTATCTAACAGGCCAAGGCCAAGCCTTACCACACAAACAGAACCAAAATCCATATCGAGCACCCATCCTCAAATGAATTCAATTGAAACATTCCAACCTTAGTTCTACTATCAGTGAGTCAAAGCATACAAGGAATGCTTAAAATCCTATAAGCCTATTCCACTAACATGACAAAATGTTTAGACAGTAGACACTGATGTGAGCAAAGAAACGAAGGGAACAATTGAAACTAGTAAGCAGGCCCAAAAATATAGAAACCTCATATGGTAAAAGTAGCTGTTACAGATCTCAAACTTTCCAGTAGTACATCATGACTCCTGATAATTTAATATTAATTAGTCTAATCCATTATTTAATTTATAAGGAAAGGTAACTGAAGCAAAATCCCGGTGCAAAACAGAGCCACACCCGGTGGGGGGTTTTCTAAGAGATGAACACATAAAGGCGCCGAGAATGAGGGAAGCCAACTAGTCTGCCACCTGATTTCTTTCATGAAGACCATGCACGATTCTAACCTCCCAGTTTTTATGTTTCATGAGATCGAAGGAAAGAACAAGCAGATTACAGGGTGTGACGAATTGCAATTGCACCCCTTCGATCTTTAACAACACTCAGACATACCATTAATAGTTAGAAAATGGACTAGGACAAAAATGGATGCTTGGAACAAATCTTTTGGGATTAAAGTAGCTTTCATATAGTTGTTAGCTCTGTTGATTACTTCTAATTTCCCTTTTAAAGTCAACAATAGCATGATCTACGGTGACTGCTCAGAAGTTTCTAGAGGTCTGAAAAAATTGAAGATTCTTCTGACTGCAGTGTTAAAGGCAAGTAATACACTCTTGAAGACAGGTAAAATTATAAAACATACAAGCAAAAAAAAAAAAATGAAAGATCTTAAACACAAGATTTCAGATACATAAAGATCCAAAGAAATCAGAATTCAATAATTACAACAGTTTAAATAGAAAATTTGTTTCAAAACCTGTGCACGTATATGTTGTACGTCTTTTACTTCGTATTCAGAGTGGGCTCCATTTTCAAGCATACGGCATACCGCTAGAGCCAAATCCTCCTCTGTGCTTTCATAAGTGAGAGCTGTCAAGTCAATATCTCCATCAGGAAGATACGTTTTCAGTGGGACTGAGCCAAATGGAAAGGCCTGTTGGTGACCCACAAAAAGGGAAAACATTCATTTATGGTCACTACTATAATGGTCTAATCATAACGAAAATCAACATGTTATTGGCACCTAAAAGCTTTTAAGCTTTTAAATTTAAAGTCGTAATAGGATTATATTGATCATAAGACTTGCAAATGATAACCCAGTCTTCCATGATTTTAATGGTTATTTCGAATAATATATAGGGGGAAAAGGAAGGAACCAATAGTGGCAGGAGTCAATTAAGGCACCTAAGATAAGGTAGCAGCAGCACAGAAGAGCCAACACCATAATTGTAAAATCAAAATAAGATAGTAAAATTGTAAAGAACTTTGAGATACATCACCCCAAAAGCTAGCTCAAAGGGTGAGAGTGCCCAAGACCTTATAAACTCCACATTAGTTGCACATACAACCAATGTGGGACTATATATCTCAACACGCCCCCTCACACGAGAGCCCGTTGGGCTTGAAGAGTGGACAATGTAACAGGCTCAGCCTACCTGTGCTAAGAAACGCCACAAGAGAAAGTGGGGGACGGCGAGGCTCTGATACCATGTAAAGAACCTTGAGATACATCACCCCAAAAGCTAGCTCAAAGGGTGGGAGTGCCCAAGACCTTATAAACTCCACATTAGTTGCACATACAACCAATGTGGGACTATATATCTCAACAAAAATAAGTAAAATGACTTCTTAAGAAAGTAAAATCATACTAAATCTAACTGCTCCTAAGAGGAAAGAAAGATGAAGAGAAAAAAACAGAACAGAAATTTCAACCAATAATTTCTAAACAGAAATCAAAGAACATTCATATTGATTTAAAGCAGCAAGCATTAGACAAAAACGCAACAAATCATGAGGGCAAGAAAGCAACTTGATTTAAAGAAAAATTGACCAAATGTAGAAAAACCACTCAACCAATAGAAAGTTACAACCCTGAAAATCGGATCCAAATATTCTCACCTCTGCCCCATAGTAACCTCTAATCAGCCTCTGAACATAATCAATAACCTCCTGTCTGTTCACCTCTGAAATCACATTTGGTTGAATTGTATATAGTATTTCTTGGGCCCTCTCTTCAGCCATCATCCAAATTTCCTCATCAACTGACAACAGCTGTTGGTTAGGCGAGGAGGGGGATGACAATTGTTCTTGTATATCATCCATAGCTGCAGATATCAGAACTCGGATCTCCTGCAATGAAAATCTAGACAACACCACAAACACAATGTCTCAGCATTGACTTCAATAACTGCACATAAAACTTTTTTCTTTACCAACCTCGGCCGTAGGAGAAAGAAACATTCTTTGGAGAGGAAGCAAAACAGACCCCTGAAACTAAGATCTTTTCATAAGAGAACAACCTTCTTCGGGTGAACCTCAAATGAAAGATGGGACACCTCTTACCTAGTTAAATTTAAAATAAATGAGCAGAGAGATTGCAGTATCAATTAATTAATTTTGCATACAACTAAGAAGAAAATCAAATGCTTGGCTGATACAACCCAACCCACGCCTCAGCCCATTGTGTATAAAAGAGACAAACACATGAGAGTGTGGGCCCCAGCCCAATCTGAGCTAGCTGCTGACTCAGCTATTCTGTTACAACAGAATAGGGAAGCACAACAACGCGAGAGGGGGGAGGATTAAAGAACGTGGCTGGGGGTGAGAGAAGTTTTATCGAATCAGAAGAATAGAATTGGGAACTTGGGAGAGAATGGAGCCTCTCCAATTGCTCCATGTTATCTTTACTTTTCTGTTATTTCCTTTTATTGTAATCTTCAATTTGGTGTGTTATGAGTTGAATAGCTGTGCTGCTCTGTAATTTGTCTTAGAGATTTCCGCTGTTAATTTCTTGAATCAATTGTAGTGTTACTGGTTCTGAACGATATAGACAGAGTTTGCAATATAATTTCCTTATTTCCATCTTGTTTGAGTTGATTGTTGGTTGGTCTGTATCATTGGCCAACGCGACAGTCCTCCATGACCATTTTGTGTTTATTATACACTCAGGGACTGTTAACATCGTAAGCTTGATTTAAGGGAGGGAGAGAAGAAAAGGAAAGAATGATTGTCCAAGGAAAAAATAGGCATTTAAAATTATATCCACGAATGATATGGAATTTTATAGGTACATAAAATCAGAGTGACTAGTAATTTAATCGGAATTGACTCAAATCTTTTAGATTTAGTTGCAATAATGACGTTTGGGTTTCGATCATCCACTAGGTCACCCATTCCCCTCTCCTACCCAAATGCTTACGCCTCCAACGTAACAGAAAAAAACAAAGTGCAAGAAGCAATTTCAGATATAGACACACTGGCTAGTTCAAAAGAAAGACAATTATGCAGGGAAAGTAGACATAGAATAAGATAGACGTGATATACCCCTAATGGGGAAAAACATGAAAAAAATACAGCAACGACAAACCCTAGTCCAAACCCGAAAAAGTAAAAGCTTGTTCCTTTAAGCAGGTAATGCTGGAGAACTCAACCATTCAACCATACAAATGACGAGGAGGATTAAAAAAACGTACAATTGAACAATGAGGGACCAAAAACCGAAGACTCTCTTTCAGCAAAAAAAAAAAAATTAAAAAAATTAAGAAAACAGATACTTTGGGGTCACAAATTTCTTCCATGAAACCCTATTTCAAGTCCTCTCATCCCATAACAACAACAAATTTGGGGAAGCAGAGGGGAGAAAAGTTTACCTTAAAAAACATAAAAAGTTGTTGCCTTTTGTCTGAGAAGGAGAACTGGGTCGTAAGCTCTGAACGTTACCGGCAACAATGGCGGAGAAGAAGAAACGCTGTTGAAGACATTAAAACCCTAAGCAGAAGAAACTCCTCCTTCATCAAAGCCCCGCGTCACGTTGGACCCCACCAATAGTCCACGAGTTTGGCAGCAGCTAATTCTTAAGTGTCGCGATCATCTTCCTTAAATATCCGAAAAGGAAAAAAAAAAAGAAAAAACCTCATCTTTTAATCTCTCATTTCCACACGTGTACTGTATATAGGGTTCTTGATAACTTCACATAAAAGAAGACAAAGGCAGTTACTCCCTTCCGTCATCAGTTTCAGGCGATGTTGACTCTCGCGCTATCTTCTAAACCCCATTCATTATCTTCTTCTCAATTTCCGCACACCCCACTTTCCTCAACCACGTGTCATAGTTGTAAAGACACTACCTTTACTCCGAAACTCAGCGAAAACGGCAAATTCCAGGAAAGGGGTTTGGAGTTCAACACCGGCGAGGCCTTTTTCCGGCAAGAGAGCGCCACCGGCCGCGACCTTGGTGTTCTCGCAGCTTCGCTGCACAAGAAGTTCAACGGAAGCTTGCGCGTTCTGGACGCATTGTGTGGGTGTGGTGTTCGGTCGCTTCGGTACCTTGCGGAAGCGGATGCGGATTTTGTTGTGGCGAATGATGGAAATGAGAACTATGGAAGCACCATTGTGGAGAATCTGTCGAGGGTTTCGAAGGAGGAAGAGAAAAGATGGGTGGTTACTCATTTAGAAGCTAATCGTGTGATGACTGAGTATTACCTGCAAAAGAGTTTCTTTGATTTCATTGATGTTGATTCGTTTGGGAGTGACTCTTCTTTCTTGAGGTCTGCTATTAATGCTTTGAGAATTGGTGGCTTGCTCTATGTTACTTCAACTGATGGTTACTCATCTGGTGGCCATCGTCCTCATCAGTAAGAATCTCTCTCTTTTGTTTTGTTTTGTCTTATGTTTGATGTGAGATTCATATACGATGGGATGCTTTTGAATGTGATGATGTTTTGTAACAAAGGTTTTTTTTTTTTTTTTTGGGTGATGGCTGGTTTGTTTTTGTTTACCAAACTTAGATTGTAATAGGTGATTTGCATGTTTGTGTTGTTATTTATGTTACTTATGTAATTGGGCCCCCAGTTTGTAATTTGTAACTTCCTACTTTTTCTTAGTTCTTTAGCTGCATATGGAGCCTACGTGCGCCCTATGCCATATTCGAATGAGATTGGTTTGCGAATGCTTATAGGTGGGGCTGCCAGGGAGGCTGCAGTGTTGGGGTATCATATTACTCCTTTATTTTCGTACTACGCTTTTCATGGACCTGTTTTCCGAGTCTTGCTCAGATTAAATCGTGGGAAGATTCATGACAGTAGGTGATGTATCGTTGTCTATGTGTTACTTCTTCTTAGTCTTTTTTTTTCCTTGTGTTCTCATTTAATTGCTATTACTTTTATGATTACCGTAGGCATTATGGTTTTATTGGCTATTGCCACCGGTGTGGAAATTCCCATGAATTTTCTTGGAATCAACTTGGTCATATCAGTTGCTCCTGCAGTATGTCCGAGGTATGATCTGGTTTGTTTGAGACTTCCTCGTTGAGGTTTGATCTTTGTAAGTTTTTTTTTTTTTTTTTTTGGGGTACAAGATCTTTGTAAGTTTTAACTTGTGTTGTTAAGGAACATTGCTAGATAATCCCTTCATAACTTGTGCCACTTTTTATTTTTATTTTTTAATCCTAAATTCCTATCTAAACAGTTACTGCATAAGACAATCTGTTCCAACTATACTCATTCCTTTTCCCTTTGGTAATCATAATATATACAACTAAGATGTAAAAGCTATCCTTTTAGATTCATATTATTGACACGTTTTTTCTTTGCCATTTCTGTCAATTGTTTTAACGTACGATTAATGGAACCCGAATGAGGAAAACTATTGAAGTTTCTATTATCTATCTGTGCGTTTTAATTTCCCGGATTTCAAATTACAGAAAGATTTTACTTTCTATGAATGCATAAAGTACATTCTATTTCATTTCTTTTTTCAGGTTTCAAACTCCCTTGTGGTGTCAGGACCTCTCTGGACAGGGCCTCTTCACGATGCTGCCTATCTTATGGATATGTTAAATCTGGCCAAGCAGTGGGAATGGATTGGATGTGACGGTAAAGACAGTCTTGAAAAGCTTATAAAACTGATGGTGGATGAAAGTGACCCAAAGTTGCCATTTGGTTATATCAAGTTGGATGAGGTGCTTCTTGTTCAAGTGATATATTTGTTGCATTGTAAAATAATGTTAGTTAATTTGGTTACAAAAATGACTTAATGGTGGTTTTTCGTGTATTTATCCAGATGTCAAGCCTTGCAAAAATTAGTACTCCACCTCTGAAGACCTTGATGAGCGCCATACACCAGGTACGCATTAAAAAATCTTTAATATGGTAACAGAATTAAGTTATAATTGTGTGCTTTGTTCATTGAATGTTTCTCCTTTGGATGATCTCTATGTTAAGAACAAATCTAATTTAAATCTATTTCAAAATTGTGTTAAAGGATCATTAACCATTGCATTGATATGATCAGACTGTGTAAATGTTTATTATTTAGAAAATTATGTCAAGATCATCTTTTCAATTGTATGTCAGATATATGGTACAAAATGGTACAACGAAATAAACACCTATGTTAAGCCATGAAATCATTTATGGTACAAAATTCAGTTGTTCACATGGCAACATGGCACAACACATCTTTACTTATCTTCTATGTTGGTTTATTGCAGAAGGGTTATGCTGCTAGCAGGTCTCACATTCGCACAAATGCAATTAAGACAAATTGCCCCATGACAGAATGCATCAAGATTGCCAAAGAACTACAGCAGGTTTCTATCTCTTAATGATTTGAATGCTCAAGGTTCCTCAGGCTGTAAAACCAACATAGAAGCCGCAAGTCATAAGGAAAATGATTAATGAAGCCGGATCGAATTTCATTGCTTGGGAGATCAATTTCATTACTATATGATTTAGTTCAGCTAGTGAAAATGATTGTAAAAAAAACAATTGTACATTTCTGTCCACAGTTTTGGGATTTAGATTGAACCTTTTTTTTTCCGGCTGACTAACCCATTTAAATCCAACAAAACTATACACACAGGTTTTACACACATATATGTAAGTCGAAAAAAATGCTAAACCAATTTGTAAACTTTGCTTTAATTACTAACTTGTTATTACTACCGTGTAGGGGTTTAATGAATATGATTTGTGTATAAATTTTTCAAATATTCAGTTTACTACATTCCATGACATAAATACACTCTATTTCTGCGTACTAAATTTATGACACGTATTATACGTTTGAAATTGGCCATTTCGAATTTTAGGGAAGAAACAGACCAAAACGGTCCAATTTCATAGACTAAATTATGAGGCTCTCTTTTTGCCGTAATTTATTTAATAACTTTTAAAAAACATCATACAACCATTTGGAACACAGCAATCTTGTGATCATTATTCATGAGTAGCAGGCCATCTAGTACACAATTTATTTGAAATGGGACCACAAAGATATTGAAGATTTAACTTCTCCATGTCTAACCAACAAATGATTAATGATAAAAAAAAAAGGAAGAAAAAAAACAAGCAGAAGTTCATTTAATTCACTTTCATTATAGCATTGAATCCAGAATAGGCATGGCATCATCTTCTCCTTCAATTACATGCGGCTCGTAGTATACAGATGGACCAAGACCCACAGGTGTGAAGCATGAGCTACTTTACAAGTTGAGATACTTTAGATGGAGTGAAAATGTACAGTTCACAATTATGAGCATCAACTTGAGCACTGAATGATGACACTGCATCTCCAGTTAATAACTTGTGCTGCAAGATAGTAAAGGGACAAAAACATTTAACTGGTCCTTAAATAGTAAAAGCAAATAGACACTGGTATGGGAATTTTTCAATAAAGTATGGAAATTATCTCAATTAAATTATAAATAGAAGCTCCACCATGAAGCACAGAACCAATAAGATCATATATAAAGATTGTCTTGGTGCAGTTTCATGCAATTAGGTTAGCTTACCAGCCACAAATCCCTCACAGAAACATGAATTCCAGATTCAAGCCCAAGTGCTTTCCATGAAGCTGTTATAGTAGCAACTTTAGAGCACCGATTCCAGAGAGCAACAACCAATCGATTTCCTGATAAAGGGCCTGCCCAAACCTGTAAAAATGTAAAACTAAGGTCAAATTTAGGATATAGTAACATATACACAACTTTAAACTTCATGGTAGTCAATAAACTTTGTCACATTAAGATTAAAATAAGAATAGAGATTTGTCCTGCCAAAGTTGCAAAATACAGATGGTCAAAATCTATTTATCAAGCATCAAAATAGTGCATAACAGTAGCCTAATCATTCTTGATTCATTCTCTTTTAAGTTGCGTCTAAGAACAGGTCAAGTTTTAAAGACAAGGATCATGTGTGTTGTGAAGCATGACTACAATGAACCTGGAAATCATAGACAAAATACCCAAGCTTTATCACATAGATGCACTATGAGGTGATACAGAATAGATTACCTGACTACAACCATCTATTCCAGAAACTTGAACTTTCCTTCCCTGGACTCCAAGTGAGTCTGCAGAGACACACAAGAATTAGTAACCTTGCTCATTATACCTTCCTGAATAATATAAATGAAAAAATAAACCAAGTAACAATAGAAACAACAACGAGAGAGAGAGAGAGAGAGAGAGAGAGAGAGAGAGAGAGAAGCATTATACATCAACTTGATAACAAAGATAAACAGAAAGCAGTGGGTACTACCTTGATTTATGGCAATGACTTCTTTGTTGCTCAAAATCTCAATTGTTTCAGCAGTCATATTTCTTACATCGCAACCAACCAATAGAGGAGCCTACATACACAAATTCACAATTTTGAGCATGCGAAAAATTCAGCTATAGTATTTGTGTTGTACTCTTTGCAAGTTTGTCTTCATGCTTTAGTAATAAGAAATTATGGTCAATACTAATTAAAGTGAGGATTACCATCACATCACAGATTAAACAAATTTATGAAATCAGAATGGCTTTTATTTTTGTTTTTGTTTTTGTTTTTTTAAGTTTTACCAGAAGATCAATTTTGCCACCATTCCTGCTATCCTAGGATCCTGAAATTGCTAGCTAAATTATCAAGCAACATATAGAAAAAAGGGTGATGATGATGACTATTGAGAGATTATCACAATCCAGCATAAATATATGCATTATCAGTCAAATCCCCGTAGGAGATGAAAGGGAGAGGGGGAGAAATAAGACTTAAAAGCAAGACCTTCGCTAAAGCCCAGATGCTGAAGTGAGCACGGTATTCCTTGTATGTCATGCCACCGTTGCCAACTTCCAACATATCTGGGTCTGTCCAGAAATAGTAATATGAAGGATAAGTAAGAATGTTTTTGGCCTGCTCTACATTTTCAATAAAAAATTTCAGACGTGTGTACCATTCCATCCTCCAGGACCAGCATATGCAGCCCACTTGTCATTAAGATCAGCAATAGTTGTCATGCTAAACAAGAAAAACGATATTTTCAGAATTGGACTACCCCATAAACAGACAATTTCAGACAAAAATGCTAATTGATCATATGTTAAAACTCCATATCGAAATGACAGTGAGACATAAAAAAAATTTGGCACTTGCATCTATAGTTTGCCAAGAGCAAATTTCCAAAGAGAAGTATATCTTTTACTAATAGACATGAAGAATTATCACGAGGTACATATTATATTATTTCAAAGTGGTCTAACCTAAAGCAAAATTGATGGATGCAGCAGTACGACCCAGATCCACATAAAAATTTGTAATACCTAACTCTTTGGTAATGCAATGTCTATCATCATGATCCAATAGCATTCTTTTATGACAAATATAGTCATGAGCCTCGAGCCCATCACTATTCCCATATTCTATCATTCTGAATTTGTTTTTAGAGCTTTCATGCAAGAATCTAAAGTAACTTTATGCTAGTGTGCATCCAATTTTGAGTCCAGTCACTATATGAGAGCAAGATAAATTCAGCTGGGTAGGATTATTCACCCACTTATCATCTTGCTCTTCAGAGAAAGAACATGCACAGATATATATTGTTAATTCTTTTTTGTGTTCTGGCTCTGAGAAATAGATGAAAAAATACCATCCACCGCTCTCATTTTTCCCAGCCTCTTCTCCTTCGTTTCACATGTTGACTCATGACTCATCCCTAAAACCTTTCTCATACCTTAATAGCTAGTGACCTATCAAGACAAGGCCTGATAAAGTGTAACCATTACACCATGAAATATTCATTATTTGTTGGCATGTGCACAATGCCTATATACTCATCACTTCCCTTTATTCTCAGGTGCCAAGGGAGTAACGTAGAAAATGAAGAAAGAACATAGAGGGAACAGAAGATTATGGGTAACACCATTCAATAAATTGCATCACTGACAGAAACCAAAATATATAATATTCCTCTATGAATGAAAGTCCAATCATAAATTGACTAGGGTACAAAGCCTTGACATAATGAAACACTAATCCCCACATCACTAACTATATTCTCATTATACTGCCCGAACAATTAAAAATTACCTCAACTAAAAGGAAAACTTAAGAACTTTCCTTAATATAATTCAAAATCCCAAATAATTTCCATTAATGCCATCATCACATACCATTTTCGAACATAATTAGTGTTAAGGCTACTGGACACTAGTTAATGGAAAACAACAGACAAAAGCAAAATCCCAAGGTGGCAATCAAGGACAGATTTTAACTTTTACCCCTAAACTTCTGTGTTATCTGGTTAAATGTTTTTATCTGAAGTACCCCTGATAGCCTGACCTATTGACGTTATTGAACTATAAGCAACCCTAGTAGAATGTTAAATGAACCTATAAGTCAAAAGTCCAGAATTTTAACCTTGCCCAAGTATCATTGATGTCGTCAGTTGTGCGCCAACTGTTACCAACCTTGCCTGCCCATAAGGCAGGGTCATCAACACCCCTTTAAAACAGAAGTCAAGTAGGAAGATCTCTGTCAAGCCAACAGTAACTAAACTCAGATATAAAAAAAAAAAAAGACACCTTATTACCATTCACAGATTGAATAGAATATTTTACGTCCAGTTGCATTGAGAGCATCACGCATAGGTGGATATCTGGAATACATGCAACCATGTTAACTCAATTTACATCTACTAGGTATTGCTGCTTTTGCAAATACTGAGACAAAGATGAGACGAAACCGTTTTTTAGGAGGGATGCCCAGATTGTAACAATTGTCATACTTCAAATAATCAACACCCTGGAAAAAGATTGAATGGGGAAAATATCACTGATAAGCTAAAGAAAAATATAACTATCAACAATTCAAATTTGTAAATAATGTGACAGATATGTTTAGTTAGGAAGGAATTATTCCAAAAAACACCTTAAGATATGTTACCAAGATGAGTCCACTTTCATATCATAAAAATATTTGTCAACATATTAAATGGAGTACAATTAATATCTTATGGTTAAACTTATCCAGCAGTGATAATAATTTTCAGGTATTACTGCACCATTTCCTTTAGAAATTCTAGAGTTGTGCCGTATTTCTAACAATCTAACTGCTGTGTAGACATAATATCTATGTGGGTAAAGCTCATTGCCAAGTTCCATGAAGACTCTCAACGCACAAATTTCAACCATATGAATGATTGAGAACTATTTGATCTATAAAGGCATAATTTTCCAATTATTTTCTTAAGAACATTAAAAGAATTCCATTAAATGACCCAATCTCTTATCTAGTCCAAATTTGGTATGTATGATGGCACTGATTAGAACTTCATATTCAAAGGCTGTCTTTGTTTCCTTAAAAAAAAAGACTAATTCCCTAAAAATATATATTGGGGTTGTAAAGCTAAAGAATTCATATCAGGTGGGATTTGAACCTGACCTACCAATATGTAATTCCATAATAAATAAAAATAAATAAGGTGGACTTCTGTTCTTTGGACCACCACAAACTCCCTGAAACATGAAGAATATCTGATACTCTTTTGCAAACTAAAAAAATGAGAGAATAGAATCTAACCCAAGAGGCAAACAAATCTGCATCATCAGTTTCATGGAAAATCGAACCTGGTCGGACTTGACACGTAAAAGCCCTAATAACAGTTGGAATATTGAGCAGGAGATTAGAAGATCAGTTAGTCACACTCAACATGGGAATGATTATATTAGATTGAATTATTCAAACATCTGGCCTGATTTTGCAATATCACCCTACCCAGCATCAGAATATATGCCAAGCTTGAGTCCCTTTCCATGTATATAATCTGCAAGTGCTTTGATTCCAGATGGAAATGTCTTATGATCAGGGACCAGCTGACCCTGCACTTCCACATCAAAACAGTAAGCAGCAATATATATTTTCTGAGACAAGGTTCCAATCACTCACTTTCAAGCTTTTCTACAAAAAACATTTATTCACATAGAAAATTGATAGTACATGTAATCATGTATACAAGACATGCCTTCCTGCTTGATTAAACATTAAAACAACAAATACACCATACAGTGGAAGCACAAAGAAAGCATTACTTTAAATCTTTACCCATTAATATTCCTTAAAATATATCTAAGGACTTAATATTTATATCATTATATCTATTTTAAGCCAAGACATAACAAATGCCAATTGAAAGTCAAGATAGAAAACATTGAAAACTGATAAGTATATACGATAAGAGATGATGATAGCCCGAAAGTTGAACCAGTAACATTGAAAGGAACAGGATTTAGCTGACCTTCAAATCTCTTGTCACAGAAGACCAGCAATCATCTGCACATTGTAAAATTGTAATATGTTTCAAGTATAAAATAGACAAACTACTATTAGAATGTTCATTTTGAACATACAAGAAACAGTACCTATGTTGAGGTACTCATAACCTAAATCAGCCAATCCCGTTGATATAAGTGCATCAGCTGGAAGGATAAAATACATATCAGTGTTGGTAGGCATAAATTACTGAGGAAAAGATTACTATTATTGTAAAAATATGAAACATAATGCTTGCAGTGAAACAAAATATGACATGGGAAACTATAAAATTAAGATATGTTGTAAAGAATTTTAATACAAATTTTTATCCTGTGGAATGCAAAATTCACAAGGAAAGCAAATGAACTTTTGTCTTTGATAAATAGTTTACCAACATCACCGAAGAAGATGGCAAAATATTTCAAGAATGGAGAGTTTTTCGAAGCACGGTTAGGGCCAGAGACCCTCCTCAAAGTATATCGGCTTTTATAACACTCATCATTTTCCACTTTTCCAAGACTTAATTTAAACTCATTTCTAGTCCAATGGCAGAAGGATATAAGTTGTAATTTTATTAGTAATTGATTTAAACCAAATCAAAGTTAAAATGTGTTTATCCTTTGCATAGCAAAATAAAAAATTTGATAAGGGAGGATCAAAAGTTTGATTAAGAAACCCAGGAGATTAATCTTCCTTGTTAGTCATCAACACAATCAGTCATGTATGCATAAGCATAATTCATAGAGGAAATGGAAGTGATGCATCCACAAGTGGCAACATCAAAACAAGAAAACTATACCCGTTTCCTTAATAACCGTTTCATTGATATTGCAGGCAAAGAAGTTCCAGCTATTCCATCTACAGAAGACCAAATCATGTCACATAATACAAGTTATCTCTCCAATTTCCTTTTTTTATGAAAAATTAAAAGAAACATCAAACTTGTGCGTGTTTGTGCACATAGGCCTTTGACAAATTGCGGTTGCAAAAAAAAAAAAAAAAAAAAAAACTTTCAAGTCCGGATGAACTGAACTAGCCAGAAATTATTTTCGCTAAAAACAAAAGAGTCAGATAGGGAGAGGAAACGAACCCCATCTGAGGCGTTCGAGCCAACCCATTATCGAGTTGAACCACACCATACTTTGAAGTGTCATAAATAGTATGAAAGTTTGATCTGAAAATAGGTTTCTGGTAGCTCTGCAAGAGAGGCACAACTATTGCTGAAACTGAAACAGAGGAAGCAAAAAGGAAGAGAATCACCGACTGCATGAAAAGAGTGTTGCTCCGTTTCTGCTTTGCCATGAGTTGCATCTCCTTATGCATCATACTCACTACTCTTCTTAAACACAACGATGCAATTTATAAGGTAGCTAGCTCCTGTATGTAGACAAGTTTGACCCAGGAACACAGTAGTCACTTTAAGACATGTCCGCAAAACATCATCATGTGAGTCATTCTTATTTTTTATGTTAATATTCAATTTGTTGAGATCAATCAGTATTAAATTATATTAATGAATGAATAACAGAAAATAATGATCATTAACAAAATGAATTTGAAAATGCATCGTATCATGACTTAATTAAAACGATGATTTTCTAACTTCTTATTTTTATATTTTTTTTTATCTTTCCTCAATTATCACCATTAATTCATACTTTTATAATTATGATTTTATGAAATAATTATATTGAATAACAAATGGGACTTAATTTAGTTTATCATACAATTATGGATAAGAATCTGTTATGTAATATTCCCCTCCCCACTATCAGTTTCTGAATCTGCATGACGTGTCACTACTAAAATTTTTGTTGCATTATAATATTGATGTCTCGAAAGTCGAAACTTCTGTGAATCCAATCGATACAAGTCGTACTCGAACATTATCTGTATGCTTGTATTCACCATTCAGCCATACAGCAATAATGTATAGCTGATTTGGATTTATACTCCTCGTGCGAAAGATATAGAATTTTATAAGAGTTATGTTGTAGCAAAAATAATTGTTTAATATTATAAAGATTTATTTTGCGTGCCTTAATTTTTTTTGCTTTAAAAAATGCAGGTCCCACAAAATATTATGTGTGTAAGAAAAAATTTTGTATCATATTAAAGCACAAACTAAAACCCCATAAATATAATAGGAAATGATTTTATTTTTTATATATATATATAAATATAGATGAATTTTTTTTTATAAATTTCATTTATTTTGTATGAGTATATAAAAGATATAATTATTTTTCTATTTGCATGATAAATATTAATCCCAAAATATATAAGGGAACTGTTGGTCATATAATAGAAAAATAAAATAAAAATTCGACAGAGACAACATTTTGTGGGTTTCATGTATTATTTTTTCTCTCTTCTTGTATTTTTTTTCTCTTCCAAAATGTTGTCGCAGGAAAAAATTTATTTTCCAGTTACATGACCCATTTGATAAGTGTATAACTTCTATTTACGAGTTATATAATTTTTGATTAATTGTATAACTTTTGTTTGAAAAAATAGAGCTAACAAAACATATCAATGCGCCACATTAGGCCTTGATTTTTGTCGGTTATGATCAAAAGGCTCACAACAATAAAAACTCATAAGTCATACCAATACCAGTCAAAAGTCTTGCAAAGCCCTACGGGCTAGGAATATCTAAAGTTATAATTTAAAAATATGTATCTTTTTCTTGAATTCAAAGAATTCAATATTATATTAATAAATAAAAATTTAACGCTTTTTAAAATATTATATATAAAATATTATTTTTTGATAAAATAATATTTGCACATATATATACAACTCAAAAATAAGCAAAATAATAATCCTTGAATAGTTAGTTCTATATTAAAAACATTTAAGTCCTCACTTCTTATAATTTTTTAATTATATTTATTAATAAGTAATATTTACTGTGAATATTTTCATTATTTAGTTTTACTTTCAGTACAAGTGAAAAGTTTAATGGTTTGATTCTTTCGTAAAAGTTAATTAAACAATACTTTGTATAGCTCTTTAAATATTTTGCTGCAACAAATTAAGTAATATTGAAATTTCAAATATTTTTTTTAAGCTGAATTCTTATATTGGATTTTTATACTTTTGACATTTTTAAGGGAGTATAAATAGATATTTATAATTATAAAAGCTATTATATATTGTTATTATAGATTTTTAAAACTTGTAATTTTATAATGATTAAATATCGGGTTTGGTGTTTATCATTTTAAATGACATAAGTTATGTCATTTTAGGAGAGAGATAGACACAAAAAAACGGAAATCATGGGAGGAGAAAGTGGGTGGTTTTTTTTAATTTAAAATTCAAATTTTCTGTGTCTGTATCTCTCTTAAAATGACATAACTTTCTGTCATTTGAAATGACAAACACTTTTTCCTTAAATATCTAATTAAAAACATAATTAAATTATAAAAAATATAAATATTAAAAAATTTATTAAAATTGTTTAAAATATATGAAACTATTTAAAAATGAATTAAATTATAAAAATTATAAAGTAGATTACTTATGTATCAAAAAAATATAAAGTAAATGGAGCTCAGCAGTGGAAAGGAAAGAGCTTCAGTCCAATCATCATATATCACTTTTGGGATGAGTTTGAATATCTTCATCCTTGAACCGTCCCACACTCCGATTTAGTCTCATAACCGACTCAAAAAGTTGAAACTTGTAAAAAATCAAGGACGCCAACTCACCTTAAAAAGGCAATTAGGGTTGGATAACTCAAAAAAATAAAATTACTTAGTTATACAGCCTTAAAAACAAATGCAATAGTAAATGCCAAAGGTGATCAAAGCAAGATATAACATGTTCGCAATATTTTAAACATTTATCTCTTTTATTCTAGCATTGTAATAACTTTGTCAGTATCTTGTACATACTAATATAGATTGTATTATTGTGATGATGTATATATTGTGAAATGGTTGAATGCATGGATAATAAGTCTTTCATACTTAAAAGTTTGGATGAAAATATAATTTAGAAAAAAAGGGTAATTGGAAAAAAAATTGTAATACTCCATTCATTCTTATTAGGAAGTCATATTCCTAATATGATGAACTTACATTGATATAAAAATAACAAGTCTTATACTCTGTTCTAGCTGGTCCAATCCACCAGCCCCGCAAGGCAGACATATACTAGAGGCACAAGCCACGTAAGCTTTAATTGACTAGCTGCACTGACGTTCCTGTCACCATTGGATTAGCAGACCAACTCCCTAACATTAAATATCAAAATAGCTTACCTCGGAGACCCCCCACATCCTGGTTGCCTTAGCAGGTACCCATTATAGAACACCAAAATGCTCCCCCTCACTTTCCCCTACTCAGCAGTTGCGGTCAGCATGCCAGCCGCTGATGGGCGGCCTGCTCCAGTTAAGCCAAGCTGCTTTAGCTTCCCCTCATACCAGTTGACTTGACACACTCTCCCAGCAGATTGAAGCTTATAAATACTCCCCTCCCTCACCATACAAAGGATCCACAACTTATAAGTCATTACCATGCCAGAGCCCCATTTTGTCACTAATCATCCCCCCATTCTGCATATTTCATCATTAGGAACACCTTCCATTGTTTTGGTCTTCAACATAGCTGTGTTAGATACCCCTACAGTAACCATTACACCCCCCTTTGGGGTTACTTGTTGGGCTCGACCAATTAAACAGTTCACACTCAATCTTAGTGGTTGATTATACCTGTATATAATAAATCTTTTATTAGAGCACATAAACCATTAAATGCAGGTAGAATCAACGAATAAATTTGAGAGTTAAACCATGCAGGCGGAGACTTTCCTCTCTATACATGGAAAAAATACTTTTCCTACAATATAAAAAATACGTCATTTTAGAATTACAGAAAATAACTTTATTTCATGTAATATGAGAAATATTTTTTCATATATATAATAAGCGTTTTTTTTTTAAATTACAAAATTGGATTTACACGTAAGTGATGTGGGGGTTGACTCCCGCCCTTGTATAGTATTATAATAATATAAAAAAGATAAAATAATAAAATAAAATAATGAGTCTCATATATTTAAATATAGGTCGAGTTTGAGTTACTTGAATAAAATAATTTTAGGAAAGTCGTCTTCTATATATAGGTCAGACAAAGAGTCACCTCCTATATAGTATTGAAACTGAGAGAAAACTTGGATCTTTGCATTACTCAGGGAATACAGAATACAATCGATAATCAAGATACACTCTACAAAATAATATTTATACATGCTTTTAATGGATAACTAATATCTAACAAACCATATTCGTTATGTTATGGTTAGTTGGAAGAATGCAACTGTCATCTGACGTGGAAACTGAGTTGGTTGGACTATGTGTATCAGCTTGAGGTTATGGCCCTTTATTATCTGGGCTTGCATTTGGACTTATCCTTATTACCCCCGCCCCCACAAGTTGGACTGTGAATGTTAATAAGGCCCTGCTTGAAGAGAGCTGTGTGAAATGCTGTCGGAGGAAGAGACTTGGTAAACATATCGGCCAGCTGATCAGAGGATGTTACAGGAAGTAGTCGCAGAAGACGCAGCTGCAGTTTCTCGCGAGTGATGTGACAGTCTATTTCAATATGCTTGGAGCGCTCGTGGAATGCTTGATTATGAGCAAGGTAGATGGCAGATTTGTTGTCGCAGAAAACAGAGGCTGGTTTGAGCCATGTAATATGCAGATCGTGAAATAGATGTTGGAGCCATTGGATTTCACAAGTAAGAGTGGCAAGAGCTTGATACTCCGCTTCAGATGAGGAACGAGAGACAATGGATATCTTCTTCGTTTTCCAAGAAACCAAAGAAGATCCAACAAATATGAAGAAACTAGTGGTTGAACGGTGAGTGTCAGGGAAACATGCCCAATCAGAGTCAGCAAAAGCACGAACCTGAATATCTGGAGATGAAGGGAAGAAAAGTCCAAAAGTTGGTGCTCCTTTTAAGTATTTAAGAACACGAAGTGCAACCTGATGACGAGTATCGCGAGGACAATATACAAATTGAGAAAGTTGTTGAACAACGAAACAGATATCAGGTCTCGTTGTTGTCAAGTAAAGTAAGCGTCCAATTAAGCGACAATAAGATGACTCATCTATCAGGGGAGATCCACTGGTGCGACTGAGGCGAGAAGATGGCTCCATTGGAGTACGATTGAGTTTGGTTGCAAGCATCCCCATATCAGAAAGAATCTCCAATGCATATTTGCGTTGGTTGAGATGAATTCCACGTGAAGTGCGAGAAACTTCAAGGCCCAAAAAATAGCAAAGAGGACCAAGATCCTTTATTTTTAATTTTCTATGTAGAAAATCTTTCACTCGAGTGATCTCAGATGGAGAGTTTCCAGACAATACAACATCATCTACGTAGACTAAACGTACTATGAATGAAGAACCAACCTTCCGAGTAAACATAGAGTGATCTACATTCCCTTGTGTATAACCAAGAGATGGAAGAGCCTCAGACAATTTGTTGTACCATTGACGGCTCGCTTGTTTGAGTCCATAAAGGGACTTGTTGAGACGGCAAACTTGGTTGGTTTTGGATGTATATAATCCTAGAGGAATTGTCATATACACTTTTTCACAACGATCCCCGTGAAGAAATGCGTTATCTACATCCAGTTGCTCCAATATCCATCCATTGGCAGCTGCAACACTGAGTAAAACTCGAATGGAGGTTAGTTTAGCAACTGGTGAAAATGTATCGAAAAAGTCAACTCTTCTTGTTGTGTAAACCCTTTTGAAACCAAACGGGCTTTGTGTCTCTCATTTTCTCCATTTGAACGATACTTAATCTTGTATACCCACTTACATCCTATGGGTGTTTTGTCAGGTGGTAAATCGATAATGGTCCAAGTATCATTTTTGGCCAAAGCATTCAATTCTACATCCATAGCTTGCCTCTATTCCTGTGACTTAGTGGCTTGGGAAAAACAATTTGGTTCTGTGTGTGTAGTGATGTTAAAACAAAAAAAATTATATGATGGTGCACAAGAGGAATATGACAGTACATTGGATAATGGATAAAGGACAGAGGGTGAAACGGAACTACCTGGATGCGATTGAGAGATGTGAGCAGCAGAAGAGGGATTGCAGTGGTAATCAGTAAGATATCTAGGAGTTGATCTGATTCGTGATGATCTACGTGGAGCAGCAGCTGATGGAGCAATAACTGTTGTGGTAGTGACAAATGGATCTGTAGGTGATGGAGCAACAATTGATGAATCTTCAGTATTATCTAGGCTTCTTGGTGCATTGTGGGTTTCTGGACTTTGGTTTTGTGGACAAAATGGTTGAGTGCTTAAGGGATGAATAGGTGTATAATCAAGGTCATAAGCATTTAGTTGCTGAGTTTCAGAAAATGTGGTTTCGGGTGAATGGTTTATATTGGATAAAAGGTTTTTAGGTTCAAAAGGGAAATGATGTTCATGAAATATGACATTTCGTGAGATAAAAATGGAGTTAGAAGATATTTCATAAAGAATGTAACCTTTAATACTTTATTGAAATCCCAAGAAAACAGCTTTGCGGGCTCGTGGTGAGATTTGGTACGTTGACTAGTGAGAGTGGATGCATATCCTAAGCATCCAAACACATGAAGATGGATAAGGGATGGGGGTTGATTGTATAGGATTGAGTATGGGGACTTGTTGGCAAGTATAGGGGTGTGGATTATGTTGATTAAATGGACTGCATGTGTCACTGCATAGCACCATAATTTGCTTGGAAGATGTCCTTGAAAAGAAAGGACTCGTGCCACATTCAATATATGTTGGTGCTTCCTTTCGACTCTGCCATTTTGTTCTGGTGTCTCAACACAGCTGCGTTGGTGCAAAATTCCTTTCAACATATAAAATTCATCCATCATAAATTCAAGTTCATTATCTGTGCGAAGGGTTTTAACTTTTGCATTGAAATGGTTTTGAGCAAATGTAATAAAATTCTGGTGCTGCTTTCTTATCTCTGATTTAGATTTCATTAAGAAAATCCAAGTAAACCTTTAGTAGTCATCAACTACCGTGAGGAAATATCTATGGCCATATATCAAACTTGTGGAATAGGGCCCCCATATATCAGCAGCATGAAGAAGCTCAAAAATTGCAGAACTTTTGAATTCACTTAAAGGAAAAGGCAATTTGTGTTGTTTTGCCAATTGACATACATCACATGGTTCGATGTGAGTGTTTGGAATAAAAGGAAAATATGAAGACATACATTGAGAAATCTATTTTGATACATGGCCTAGGCGTTGATGCCATAACAGAGATGCATCACACACTACATTATTACTGCTCTGTGTAGAATTACAATTACTGATAGGAAAACATTTGATGAGGAGGTAGTAGAATCACGATTCAAAATCAATGCTCCTTTATTTCTGAATACCACATACAATCATCCACGATGCTTAGCAAAACCAATCGTCTCCTGGTAGTTGGGCCTTTTCTGTTGGATGAAACAATGAAATTTGTCAAAAATGAGATTGTAAGAATTAGATTTTAAAAGTCTTGAAACTGAGAGTAAATTGATACGAAAATCAGGAACATACAAAACATTGTTTAAGACAAGAGTGGAATTAATGTGTACAATCCCATAAATTGAAGCAATGACACTACAACCGTTAGGTAAAGAAATGGAAATTGGTTGAATTTCGTGGAAAGAAGAAAACTGAGACATAGTGAAGGTGATGTGATCTGTAGCACATGTGTCGATGATCCATTCATCAACACTGATACCTGAGGTTGAGCTTTCAGAAATGGAGTTGGATGCAAGAACTGCATTGGCTGTATGCATATATTAGGTGCTTTGAGATTCTGGATTGGCGGGAGTGGCTGTTTGTAACAGATTCAGGATCTGTTGGTATTGATCTTGAATTATGTTTATGGAAGGAGTTGTCATTCGATCGTTAGTATTGCTTTCTTGATTCACAGAGGCACTATTGATCATATTTCTTCTATATCCAGATGGAAAACCATGGAGAAGATAACAAGTCTATATAGTATGATTAGTGCGATTGCAGTGAGTGCACAATTTTGTAGAGCCTCTTCCACCATAAAAGCTTCGTCCACGTCCTCTGATATTTCGACCTCCACGTCCATTATCAAGAACATACAAAACATTGTTTAAGACAAGAGTGGAATTAATGTGTACAATCCCAGAAATTGAAGCAATGACACTACAACCATTAGGTAAAGAAATGGAAATTGGTTGAATTTCGTGGAAAGAAGAAAACTGAGACATAGTGAAGGTGATGTGATCTGTAGCACATGTGTCGATGATCCATTCATCAACACTGATACCTGAGGTTGAGCTTTCAGAAATGGAGTTGGATGCAAGAATTGCATTGGCTGTATGCATAGATTAGGTGCTTTGAGATTCTGGATTGGCGGGAGTGGCTGTTTGTAACAGATTCAGGATCTGTTGGTATTGATCTTGAATTATGTTTATGGAAGGAGTTGTCATTCGATCGTTAGTATTGCTTTCTTGATTCACAGAGGCACTATTGATCATATTTCTTCTATATCCAGATGGAAAACCATGGAGAAGATAACAAGTCTCTATAGTATGATTAGTGCGATTGCAGTGAGTGCACAATTTTGTAGAGCCTCTTCCACCATAAAAGCTTCGTCCACGTCCTCTGATATTTCGACCTCCACGTCCATTATCAAAATTTCCTCTACGAAAATTTCCTTGATCACTGTGTACTGCCATAGCTTGCACAATAACTGGAAGATTATGGTGATCCTCCGAACGAAATTGTCGTTCTTGTTGAGTCACTAAGGAGAAGGCCTTAACCACATTTGGCATTGGCTCCATCAGCATGATTTGAGAACGAACTTGAGCATATTGTTCACTCAATCCTCTCAAAAATATTATTGTATGATCTTGATCATGAAATGTTCTCATTTGAGCAATTACACCACATTCACATGGAATCACCGGAGATGGCAATGGCCTCGGATTGTCTAACTCATCCTACAAAGTTTTAAGATGAGTAAAATATTCTGAAACAGATTTCTCACCTTGCATTAGTCTACAAATCTCTCCTTGCAAATCTGCTATCCTGAACATATTTGTTTGAGAAAATCTATCGCGGAGGTCACTACATGCATCAGATGCATTTTCAATCCATAAAATGGATTGAGCGATTGTTTGTGAGATGGATCTGTGTATCCAACCCAAAACTATGGTGTTGCAGCGCTTCCAAGCTTGATACTCTGGATCATCATCATCTGGAATTATCACACTGTTGTTGATGAATCCCAACTTGTTTTTGGACCGTAGAGCCATGGTCATGGATCGAGACCATGAGTGATAATTGCGACCATTGAGGACTGGACTTACAAGTACTTGAGAGGGATTCTCATTGGGATGAAGAAAGAAAGGATGTGAAGGATTGGTAATGAAAGCAGGAAGCTGTTCTTGGTTAGCCATGGAAACGAAGAACTGAAAATCAGATATCTGAAGCGAAGTATCAGAGCAATAATAGCTCTGATACCATATTGAAATTGAGAGAAACTTAGATCTTTGCATTACTTAGGGAATTCAGAATACAATCGATAATCAAGATACACTCTACAAAATAATATTTATACATGCTTTTAATGGATAATGAATCTCTAACAAACTATATTCATTCTGTTATGGTTAGTTGAAAGAATGCAACTGTCATCTGACGTGGAAACTGAGTTGGTTGGACTATGTGTATCAGCTTGAGGTTGTGGGCCTTTATTATTTGGGCTTATCCTCATTATATAGTACCAACAAAACTTGAGCTAGACCAATCAATTAACCAAGAGACTAAAAAAGAAATACACCAGTTTGTATGAAGTCAAAAAATAGTAAAAATTTGTTAATCAAATATAAAAAAATAGTACTGTTAAAATCAATTTTTTTAATTTTCAAAGTTTGTGATATATTGATGATATAAATTATATTATTATATGTTGTTTTTATGATAAATAAAAAATTATTAGATATTAAATATTTTAAATGTCAAAGAAACACAAAAAGTGATGAATTGTGTAATATTTTTATATTAAACAGTATAATTTGAAACTTACACCATTAAGTGAAAGATTATAGTTTATTATCATGGCGTTCTTAAATTATTTAATATATATTTAAAATTTTCAATATTTAAAAGTCATTTTTTCAATTAATCAAAATTGAGCTAAATATTAAAAAAATAATATAAGGAGAATCCCAAGATGCTTGAACCGAATTAAACTGAACTTCTAACTTCCTATGATATAAAAACATTACATTAACTATAATATATAAATAAAAAAAGTAAGTAAAAAAATTTAGAATTAATTTCAAAATATTAATTGACTTCTCAAAAAATATGAAGGCGAAAAAAAAAAAGGCAGGCTGGAAAACTTAAAAACCAAAATATTTAGGCTTTGGTGTGAGCTGCGATATAAAAGCCCTTCGAGCCATTTTCAGAATCAGCAGCGGAGAACCCTAATTTGCCCGAGTGTTATTCACCATGGTTGGGGATCAGATCTTAGCCTCGTTTCTTTAATTCTGTTAGGGTTTTGTTCTCATTCTTCAATCTTCTCCTTTGCAGACATTCAAGCGCAGGAACGGAGGTCGCAACAAGCATGGTCGTGGCCATGTAAAGTTCATCAGGTGCTCCAACTGCGGCAAATGCTGCCCCAAGGTATTGTACTTTTTCGCACCTTCAAAATTTTGTACAGAATATCAATAAAGTTTAGGTCTTTGACATTGGGTTTCTGATTTTCCTGAAAAAAATAACAGGACAAGAGCATCAAAAGATTTTTAGTCCGAAACATTGTAGAACAGGCTGCCGTTAGAGATGTGCAAGAGGCTTGTGTGTATGAACGTAATTATCTTTACCTTGTCTCTCTGTTTTTTTTTAATGAAAATACAACATGTGCTATGTTACTGATTTGATTGGTTTGTTTTTTGATTTTGTAGAATACACTCTCCCTAAATTGTATGTGAAAATGCAATATTGCGTCTCATGTGCTATCCACTCTCATGTTGTGCGCGTTCGATCACGCACAAACAGGAGGAAGCGTGAGCCTCCACAGCGTTTCATCAGGCGCAGGGTAAGTCTACTTTACATTTTCAATTTTTTTTTTGCTTTACTTTGTGTTGTATGATTTACTGTTTGATAAATGTTTTTATTTCTCTTTTTTGTTAAGCTATCATGAAACTTTCCACTGAAATCTTTTTTGCCCCAAAGTAATCTAGTCCTAATACGAACTTATTGTTGTTTCAAATTGTGTTTTTCTTGTGTGTTATCACTTATCAACTGGATAATAGTGTGGTCACTGGGGTATAATATACTTCCGTGACATATATTTAAATCCAAGCAAAATCTTGCTTTTTTTTTCTTTGCTTGTGGCTAGATGTAGAATTTGACAGAACTAGAAGGATCTGAGATTGGAACCTAATTAATTAAAATTGTCTCTTTCCCACTCTTGCATTTGAGCTGCATGATTCATAACTTGATATACAAAGTTATTTCTCTTTCTCTATCCTAGAGGAAGATTGATATTCCATTGAGTTGGTTTAAATGTTTAATGGTTAAAGAATAGATTTTACCCCCTTTGAATGTACAAAGGAAACTCATTTAACATTCAGTTTTCTTTAGGAGAATGTATTGTCTGCCTATGAAATTGTTAGCAAAGTTTGGTTAGTAGTTGTTGCTTTGAATTCTGAGTTATGGCTTTATGCTTCACTTGCTGGTGTTCAATGAGTTTATTTTAGCAATGGTTGATTATTAGTTGTTGCTTTGAATTCCGAGTCCTGTCTTTTATCTTCACTTGCTGGTGTTTGATGAGCTTATTTGGTTCTTTTTGCAAGGATGATGCCCCAAGGCCAGGTCAGCCCGGTCAAGCACCTCGTCCTGCAGGTGCAGGAGCTCCTGCCCGTGCTTGAAAGCAAATATTAAGATTTTTGGTCTTGTTGGATCAGTTTCATATGATAAACCGAATTTCTTTGCTGCTTGAATTTTGAAATTTCAGTTTTTTTAGGGATATTATGTTTTCTTCTATTTGTATGCTTTATTCCATGGGTGATACCTACATTTTCAATTGTTATAATTTGGTGGTTTTGATGAGAATGGACCTTGATTTAGCCGACTATTTTGTGAACTAATAGAAGCTAGACTTGGCACAGCTTAACAATGACTGGTCAGTTCAAAATGAGAGATTATGAAGCAAACAGAGGAACAACTGTGAGTAATGTCTTTGCTTAGCAATTTCTCGTTTCCTAAAATATGTTGAAGATGCGCCTCCTTACCTGGTTGGTTGGAACAGCAGTCAGCTCAGTAGTTTCCTTTTATTGTATGTTGGAGAATTTCCTCCTCACTCTACAGTCTACCCCTTATCAGGCCACCCCATCCTACTAGTCTGTCATTTCACATGGCACAATATTCATGTTTAACCATTAATCTAGCAAGCACTATTTGCTTATCTCGTACTGCTTCTTCCCTGTCAGATTCTCCAAGCTTCCTGTAGTTTTCAGCTTCTTTTGGATTTGCATGAGCGTTTGGATGTAGACCGGGAGAACTATGATTACACCATATAGTTGTCTACTTGTCCGCGAGCCTTTTGGGCCTTTTTTTTTTGAAAAAACAAATTTACACTATATACCACTTTGTCTCTCTTTAACTACATTGACCGCGAGTTACTTAGGTAAATGGGCAATTCAAATTTGGATCAACTAATATTTTTGATTCAGACTTAGTTTTAATATTTTGTGTATGTATAAATGGACTTGGGATGGGTGTTTGCGGGTTCAAAACAATCAAGGATATTCTCCATTCAATCTTTTTATATCTTAAAATAATGCAAACTTTGGAAGGGCATGACTTTCGGTTTGGATGTTTAATCAGAATTTTTATCATTTAATGTAACTTTTTTAGATTTACGTGATAGCAAATTCTAGAGATTTGGTCAATTTTTTTTTTAATGCTTTCTTCATGGGTTTCGGGAATGGTAAAGTAAATGACCATAAATCTTCAATTCCACATTGATATAAATATGTACATCAAATATAGTTTAGTAAATTTAGTTCAAGGTATAGAGAGCTTAGATGAAGATTATTTTCAATTGTTTTGAACCCTCGAACCCATATACAAACCCAAATATGTGTTTGTATATTGAAAATCAATAGAAAATCATGTTTTGACATCTTGAATTGAATGAACGGGGATTGCCCTTAGTTGTAAAGGATTCATAAACATTTATATCAAGTCTATTTATATATGTACAAGACTTTAGAACTTAATTTTAATTAAAATTATTTGTGGATCTTAATTTGAGTTACTTGGGCCAGTTACTCGGTTAAATGATTTATTCGAGTAACTAACCCCAATTATAACCCCAATTATTCGAGTAACTCGCAATTAACATGGTTAAACAAGAACATATTGATATATACTATGATGGCTAAGGTTGGAATTTGAAGAGTTCAGAAAGTATAATAACATTACGTATAAATAAAAGCTCGAGCAAGATGTACAGAACCCATTGGGGCAGTTTCATGCACTTAGGTTAGCTTACCTGCAATCAGTCCTCACTAAAACATGAATTCCTGATTCAAGCCCAGGTGCTTTCCATGAAGCTGACAGTTGTAGTAGCAACTTTTGAGCAATGATTCGAGTGCAACATCCAATCGATATCCTGATAAAGTGCCCAAACCTGTAAAAATGTAAAACCAAAGTCAATTTAGCATATAGTACGCATCCACAACTTAAAATTCATATTAGTCAATAAGCTTTCTCACATTACAATCTAAATATGAACAAACAATATGTCGTGCTAAAGTGGCAATAAAATACCGATGGCCAAAATATATTTATTTGACATCAAAATAGTGCACAACAGTTATCTAGTCATTCTTGATTCATTCTTTTTTCAAGTTGCGTCAAAGAACATGTAAAGTTTCAAAGATAAGGATCACTGATTCACTTGTTTCGTCTAGCCTATGTTTTAGAAGGTGAAATTAGCAGGACACTGAAATTCATCTTAATGCCTGATGAAGATGCATTTTGAGCAGCTTGATCCAGATAGACATCATTTGAGCTGTGAAGATTTTGCGATGTTAAAATGGATTAGCCCATCCCATTAGGCACTAGTCCATGTGAGTTAGGGCAGAAAATTTCACAGGACCAAATGACCTTCAATAATAGAGGTTCGCATGAGTTAAAAGCCCTATGAGCTAGGGCAAGGTCATTCAAATGACCCGCGGGTTAACCCTAACCCAACCTGCTAAATTACATGATTTTAAGGGTTAGAGCCAAAAAAAACCCTACCAAAAAATTCCTAATGGGTTAGGGCTAAATATAAAATTTTACGGGAACTCGCCGCCGGGCTTCAACCCATTTTGACAGAATGAATGCAATGAAACCATTAAGAGTTGATTCCATAAAATCCCAAGAAAAAGGTATTCTATAGTATGTAAGATGTAGCACTGACCAACAAAGTCGAGCATAATTGATAGATAACTGAGTCCTTTAAGCACGTTTTCAGGAGTTTAATTCCGGCAAGTGTATAAAAAATTCTGTGTTGATAGAGGCAAAATTTACTTTGGTAATCTTTACCTCTCGAGGAGATCAATCTTCGACTGTCGGCCAAAAAATACTCGAGCTTTACTCAAAAAAGATGCAGAACTGTGTTTACTGTGCTCTCGCACTTACAGGAGGAAGTCTGAGCCTCCACAGCGTTTCAACAGGTGCAGGGTAAGTCTATTTGCATTTTCAGATTTTTTTTTTTCTTTCCTTTGTGCTATGTGGGTGGTTCTTATTTTGCAATCTTTGTCCTACTCCTATGTATTATTAATATGATTACAGTGTGGTCAAGATAGTTTTTGTAACCTATAGTCCAATGGATACGTATTTAGAATACAAGCAAAAGCTTGCTTTTTCTTTAGAACTATGGGAGTCACACAATGGCCCTTGAAATCGCATGCAGATAGCTTCACAGTAATTGAAAGAACTGATATTGGACCCATGGACCCTAATTTAGTCTTTGTTCCATTCTTGCATTTGAGCTATATAATTGAGGACTTGATTTACAAATATGAAACTTGTTTCTCTGTCATTTTTCGAATGTGATGTCCATTGTACATTGTTTTAACAAGCACCCATTCTTAACTCGCTTTGGGTTCAAGTAGGCTTGGAAAAAAAATTAAAAGAGTCTCGTACCAAAAAAAACATATTAAAAGAATCAAAATTCCTTTCAAAATGAAAACAAACTTTTCAATATGCTAAAATTAATTTAAAGTTGGCTAAAATGGACAAAAATGAGTGTATAATTTATAATTAATGAAAATAAATGATATGACGTGTGATTCAAGTCAAGTAAAAAAAATAAAAAAAATAGGAAGATTAAAAGGAAAAAGATAAAGAGTGGAGGAGAATCACACGGAATTTTTCATGTTTTTTTATGAAACAAAACTGGTCAACTTTGGATCAAATAGACATCGACAAAAGTGAGTTTTTGATCGATTAACCCCTACAATTATACTATATTTTACAAATGTCTTTTGTGGTGTTTATTTATTTTTAATTATCATTATCGATTATTTCCTTAAAACTTTGGTTGATTCACCAAAGCTTTATTTTTGAAGTGAAAGTAAAAATTGAATAATGATTATGATCTTTAAAAAAAATTCACCAAAGCACTGAGTGTGCAGACATAAAAAAAATTTCCTGAGTCCGCCACTGCTTTTTTTATATACTATTGTATCAAATATATTTATACCCTGAAATTTTTACATCTCCTCAACACGATTTTATACCACGCCTGCACTATTTCGTGTAAAATTTGGGCACACTTAGTAGCGATGATTTTATTAAATGGAAATGGAATGAGAATGGGCATGAGATAACCTACAACAGAATGGTAATTCTCATTTTAGAATTTGGTAACTTTTAGGAATGAAATATATTTTAGAGTCATTTCATTATTTGTTACATAGAAGCATTGTAAAATAGACTAAAAGTTAATTTAAATAAAATAAGTCCATAATAAAATATCTTCATTTCATGGAATGAGTATATTACCAAACTCAGTCATATCATAGAATTTGATCAGAATTTTACAAGATAAGATAAGCCAAATCACATACGGTTGAAAGTTGAAGATTATGGGCCTCACGGTTGTTGTAAGATAGAATAAGCTTCTCTTCGAAGTGTTTATGAGGTAACTTTGGCGCAATGGAAGTGACTTGGGTGGGTACCTACAAAGGCACTCTAACGCTCAAGTCCGTATCAATGAGAGGTGTATAATGTTTTACTGAGAGATATGTATACCTAGGATTGTACTCTTTGAATTTATAGTGTGCTCTGTGCCGTCCTTTGTAAGCGGCATCTCTTATTGGTGATTTAGGGTTGCTGCCCTTCTGTCACAGTTAGTGCCCTTCAAGCTATTATTTGATGAACAAGTCTAAATGCTAGTATGTGTCCTTAGAGTAGTGACAAGCTAGAGCTGTCCTGTTTATACTGGCTCTTATGCGCGGTGGACCTTATCAAATCTTTATGTCCTTCCTTAGTCCTTAAGTTTTACCTTACGACTTAGTGTGATAACCTGCTCAATGAAACTGATTTGTGCCATAAGGGTAATCCGCACAATGTGGATGTTGCGCCTATCATCTTTGGATCCCTCTTGGACCTCTAACTATTGAGCCTATATTTTATTTGGATCAGAATTTAACAATTCGTATGAAACATTATTCAAGATATGTGATATTACATAATGTTTGTCCTTTTAAAGGACATATAATTGTATTATTTTAAATGAGAAAAATACACAACATAGTAATTTTTTATTTAAAATTTAAATTTAAGAAAAGAATCATTCACTTTTTCTTCCATGATTTTCATTGTTTATTCTTACTTAAAATGACATAACTCTATATCTTTTAAAATGATAAATAGTAAACCCATTCATTTTAACATGCTAACCAGCATATTAGTACGTTATTATTTCTCCTAATGTTTTCAAGTGAAAATGAAAGATTCGACAAAGTCGCTCGAAATACAATTTTTATTCAAAACAGAGACAGGAGTGAAGGCGTACGCAAAAGAGTATGTTAGACTTTCTCATGGGTTCCAACTTCCACGTCCAAGTCAAGCAAATAAGGCAAATGCTTAGTAACTTTAGTTAAACTTCAAACACACTCTATTCACAAGAAAGACGAAAAAGTTATACATTTCATTAGATAAAACAAGAGTGTCTTCGGTCATATTAGGCGGCTCATTTATATTAATAATAATATATTATATCATCTATATGCAAGGCCAACGCGCGCGTGTATATTTATATATATATATATATATATATATAGAAAAGTATTTCTTCAGGCACCATAGACAAAG